ATTTATATAAATAATGCAATCTTCTGTACATTATAAAAATAATATTAATTGAAACTAAGCTCATCATATATTTTACACTTGTTTTGCTTCCTCTGGAAACTTTAATAAATGTTGTATTTTCTGGCAATAATGAATCAATTTATTTTGATTCATCTTTCTGGATACAGTAATAATATAAATGCAGAAACAAAATTAAATATAAATTAGAAGCAATGTAAAACAAATTTTATGAGTAATACTGAATAAAATATAGACCTGAGTATTTCTTAGCTATTTGAATATCCTAGTACAGCTCATAAAGGAGGAAAAAAATTAATTCCTTTGGGATAGGAAGAATACGAGTAAAGATCAGAGATATCTAGAATCTTGACATTGTTTCTCATCTTCAAAATGAGGGGCTGGCAATCTATGATACTTAGGCCAAATTTATCCAGATAACTGCTTCTCAAGAAAGTTATGTTGGAACATAAACATACCATTTCTTTTGCCATTTTCTATGGCTGTTTTAGTGCAGATTTGCATAGTTGTAGCAGAGATGATCTGGCTTGGAAGCATAAAATATTTCCTATGACCCTTTACACAAATTCTGTTCACCCTGCTCAAGACCTAGGGATTCATCCCTTTAGAAAATAATTTCAAGTTTTACTTTCAGAATTCATCTGGCAAGTTAAAACAACATGCATATACCTGAACAAACTCTGAGTAACAAAGTACATGTGTTAAATTTTGACATCTTTTATTGTTATGTAAAAAAAATCTAATTTCATTCAATATTACTATCACAATGTGAAATAGTATCCTGAGAAATATAAACATCCAGAAAATCTCACTTTCCAGTTAGGAGGGTCAATTTTTTCAAATGACAATTTTAAGGCTGTGGTGGTTGTTTATCTGTAGAGAAATCATGTAAGTTTAACTTAGGAATCAAGGTTCTCGCTCTTCAACTTGCCAGCAAAAGCGATCATTCATTAACACATGTCTACACATCACCTATCTGTAGTATAGCAGAATTTGGTGACAGGTTTACATTTAAAGCAATGGACTTCTAAGTAACATACAAACCTAAAATGAAAATCCACTTGCCAACATAAGTTGAGGTTTGGAGGCCTGAATAATTAAGTTACTTAACTGAAGATGTTCTGGGAGCTGTGATTTTGAAAGACCCTTTTGATCTATCTAGGTGATTGCTGACTGAGTCACACAAATCAAATTTATGTCTTTACGATCAAAATATGTTATGGGGCTTCTCACGATAAGGTAAGCTTCAGCATTACCCAAGAGTGTTTTAAATGCTCACACCTGGACCTAATTCCCCTGCCCCTAGACGTGGTTCTTAAAATCAATGTGTAACAAGTTTCACAGGTGATTCTGATGCCCTTGGAGGATTGAGAACCACTGATTATAAATTTCTTAGAATTAAAATCCTTTAAATTTTTGCAGAGGAAGAATTTAATGACAAATTGAAGCATTTTCTCTTCAGTTTTAATGCAATTTATATAAATACAAAAAAAAAAAGGCAGCTTTTATCAGGTTACCCTAACCAAAAGACCCTTGAGCTCCTCTACTATCTTTTTATGCTCCAACAGACAAAACACTTCTTAAAAATCAAAAAAAGACCGTGCTCTTTAAAAATAATTGAAACCCCATATGTAAAACTGATAAAAGCCTAGAGACTATGATTAGAGGCAGGACTAAGCTCTGGATCCAAGCTTACTTGACCCCATGTTTTAGTCTGTTTGTGCAGATATAACAGAACCCCTGAGACTGGGCAATTTGTAATGAACAGAAATTAATTTTTCTCACAGTTCTAAAGGCAGGGGAGTCCAAGATCAAGGCACCAGCATCTGGTGAGGTCCTTCCTCCTGTGCCCTCAGAGAAGAAGAATGCCATGTCCTTCCATGGCAGAAAGCCAAAGGGCAAAAGAGTTGCAAAAGGGAGCCAAACTAGCCCTTTTGTAATGGCATCAATCCCACCCATGAGGGCTCCACCCTAACCTCCCAATGATCCCATCTCCTAACACTGCCACAAGGGCAACAAAATTTCAACGTGAGTTTTGGAAGGGACACTCAAACCAGAGCACCTGTACACCTCTCCTCCCCCTTGTATTTTGACCACCCTCAGAGAGTATTTCCTGAAACATACATGATGAGGTGTCTGTGGTGATGCTTTATCTTTCTAAAACTTTTTAAAAGTCATATTTCAGTGTGTCTTTAAGGATGAAATTTTCTAAATGAAGATATATTAAAATAGTTATTTTGTTCATTTAGATTAGCTTCTGTGATTCTTTATTCTGGACTCCAAGAGGGCCCTCATTTGCATGTCATGGTGAAGGAAGCAGCATTAACCTGGCAGGATCTCAAGTTCTACTGATTAGGGACTGGACTGTAGATCAGACAGGGCTGAACTATTTGCCCTTTGCCCCTCTGCTCTTGTTCTCCTGCTTCTGGACATGCCCACAGGACCCTTCTTGCACAAGCCTCACCTCACCTGTGGCTGAGTCCCAAGCATCACATAACCAGAAACATTCCTTGGTCTGGCCCAGGTGGGTCTCTGGTGAAGTGTCAGGAAGGAGAAGTGTTGTCATCTAATAGGTGGGAGCCACACCTGCCATCTGAGAGGCAACTACAGGCTGGTGCACCCTGCTAGCCCCTTTCTCACTCTAGACACTGAAACTATTTCACCTGGACTTGGAGATGGGGCTCAGTTCCCTCTCTCCCTCTATCCAAGCCTCCCCACAACGGATCCCCTTCCATAGTGACCCTTTAACAAATGTGAAGGAGAAACCACTTGAAAGAAAAGGAAAGACACCCCCTAAAAGGCAAGTCAGTCACCCGCCAAAATGAGAAATGACTTGGACTGTTTGTGGGACGCCGGAGGAAAGTGGAGATGTGGACACCAAATCTAGGATATTTGGTTGTGTTTCTTTTGGGAAAGGGGATCAGAAATATCTTATAGTCACCAAAGGGTCTGAGGAAGTTGAGCAATGATCTCCTGGAGCAAGATTCCTCTTGTTCGCCCTCCCACTGGTTAAACAGCCTTGTTAAATGTCCCACTAATACGGATCAGGGTGGACTACTCAGTTCCAGGCACCTGAAGGTGGCCAGTCACCTAAATTCCCTCTGATTCCACAGGGTCAGAATGCAAAACAGAGGAAGAAGAGAACTGATGGAGGAGAGTTTGCATAGGATTGGAGTGATGGGAGCTGCTGTGGGGATGTACCCTGGGGGTCTATGTGGTTTAGTGCAAGACTGAATGCATCTGAGATAGAGGGCAACAGGAGAGGAATCACCATGGGAAGAGGGGAAGACGATGCCCTATAACCACACTCAATTTCTGACACAAACAACAGTCTGAGAATCCTTGCTGTGCATATGTGTACTTTCACTGTGGGGAACTTCACATTTCAGCATCAACATGGAAACTCAGGGCTGAGAGCGGAGACACAGGTGGCACAGGGACAAAATGTGTGCTTACCTCTATCACTACCAAGCAGAGCCAGGTCTTATGCTGGTGTGTAGTACATGAGACAGGTGAAGGAAATGATTTGATGTGATTCCAAGTTGTCAATTGTAGAGAATTTTTCTTATATTAGTCCATTTCTGTTGCTTATAATTTTATACCTGAAACTGGGTAATTTATAAATAAACAAAATTTATTTCTTAGTTTTGGAGTCTTTGAAGTACAAGGTCCCAGGAACACATCTGGTGAGGGCCTTGTGGGTTGGAACTCTACAGGGTCTCATGGCAACCGGGTATCACATGGTGAGAATGGGCTGAGCAAGAGAGCTAAACTTCCCACTGGATCTCCTCATGAAGCCAGCAGAACTATGCCCATTGTAACTCATTACTTCATGAATGGATTAAGCCATTCACAATGGCAATGTCCTCATGATCCAATCTCCTTTCAAAGGCCTCACCTTTCAAATACCATAATTGGATTTCCCACCCTCTTAGCACTGTTACAATGGGGGTGGAGCTTGGGGGGAGTAAGTTTGGGGGGGAGACATTCAATCCACAGCATATATAATCATTATTGTAAAAGTTCTAAATTAAATATCTTCTTCATAAAAATAGAGATAAAGCATTCTTTTCTCAAAATATTTCAGAGTAAAATATTTCAGTTCCCACTTTTTTCTTTAATTGGATCAACACACCAATAACAATAACAAAACCTAGATGAAATATGCAAAACAACTATTTTAAGGTATTGGAGTGCAACCTCTTCAGACAGGATTTGTTGAGGTACAATACATGAGAAAGAGGAAGTCCAATGATGTATCATTTCCACACTCACTGTTTTCAAGCATTTGGAAATTAATACCATGGGAGGCAAAAAATAAAAAATATAGATTCATTTTAAAGTATAAACTTTAAAGGCCCGAGAGTTGTGAAAATAGAGAGGACTTAAAGAACTAAAACTACATAAAGAGAAGAGCACTTGTTAGGAGAAGTGAGAAAACTACACATTCCCCTACCTCAGAGAATTGGCTTAGTTCAGACCCTGAAAATCATAGGCAGAAAGACACTACTGGGAAATAAAAATAAGCAGATGAATGTATGGACATGTGGAGTGGGTGGGTGGATTGAAACCTAGAGAATCACCACACATGGGACTGCTTTTCCCCAAAGGCTATTGTGTGGGGACAGGAGAAGAAAAGCAGTATTATTTCTCAGTCCCACGGTATTTTGAAAATAACATCCAACTACAGAAAGATGCATGCAATAAATTAAGAATGAACCTAAAGGCATGGGGGTCAGATTGAATCTAATCAAAGCTGCAACCCAGCCAAAGTTCATTTCAATTCCTGAGGGGAAGAAAGTTGACGGGTCCTCACTCGAGAGAGAATAGACAACATCTCTGGGTAAAACAAGAATTTCAGTTCCTTCCTTTTTATTAGGCAATATCTCGCATACAATTTTAAAAAACATGATCTGTGTTTGTGTTAGAAACAAAGAAAAAAAGAGACAAGACAAATAAACCCACACATCTTTAGACTGGAGTCAGGAGAAAAGTAATTTATAGTAACTGTAAGTATGTAGTGCAAAATAGAGAAAATAGTAAGAAGTGACTGAAAAGATAAAGAAGTGCACAAGTGCTGAGTTTGACAAGCTATGGTCCATGGGTGGAGGTGTTTAACAAACATTACACATAGAAAACATTTGCAAACTTATAAAAGCAGCCACATAAAATATACAAACTAGAGCACAGAAATATTTGAGGAGGGTGTTGCATATCCCTCAGAAAAACATGGGCTAGATTAATTATAAGCATCTATGTTCTGTTTTCCCATGTTTGAAACAGGGATATTAATAATTTCCAAATGTGTACCCAAGAACGGAGCCTTCTCTTGTCATTCTGGTAGAGAAGCTCCAACTTTATTTCTCAGCCTCTGCATGTATGGAGGGGCTGGGACTCGAGAGACTCATTTCTAGTTGGTGATTTGTAGATTCATGGTCATTGTCACTGGAAAATATGTGCAAGATCAGATTGTCATGGCTCCTTTCTATTCTGCCACCTTTGCTAAACAGTATTCTGCCTGTCCCTAGAAGGGTCAGTGCTTTTTTTTATTACATAAATTAGTGTAAGTATATAAGGCATCCTGAAAATAGGATACTCCAAATGTCTCCACTCTTCTTCCATGTCCTCATTTGTTTTAGAAAAAAGCCCTTGGCAACAAAATTCTATTGCACAGAATGACACTCTGATTCTGATTTCTGGGAAATGTTCACACTAATGTACCCACAATTACAAAGGACTGCCAATTTTTATTTGAATAGATTCATTTCCAATTACTTTAAATATTTTGCAGTATTAAATTTTAAAAGGAGGTAAATTTTACAACATACTGCCTATATTTAACACTGTAATATTTACTTAAAAATTTGCTATGATGGTTGACCTTATGTAAGTATTTTTATCACAAAGAAAAAATAATGAAAAGAGCAAAGGACAAAACCTTTGGAGGGGATAAATGTGTTTATGGCTTAGATGGCATATATGATTTCATGAGTGTAAATGTATCTCTAAGTTGTACACATTAAACATGTATACGTTCTTGTACTGTCAATTACACTTCAATAAAGTGGTTTCTAAATAAAGGAGGCAAAGTTATGTACCATGACATTTTACCTGTTAAGTGTGTGTTTAATAATCGATGTTTCATTTTATCATTGCCATGTACACATATACCACTAATATTATAGTTAGGACATATAATTTTTGTGTTCTACATGTATCAGTTCTATTCAATGTTATTTTCTAATTGGCCCCAATTTATGTGTTTAAAACTGTATAAAAAGCCTAGAATTTTACCAACATTAGATAACATTAGATTATTCAGCAACAGCACTTACTACCTGCATTTCTGCCACTACTAATTGTGTTTAATCTTTGTTACTTATTACAAAATTCTGCATTCAATACTCCCAGATCACTTCAGAATTTTACATTTTATCCTACATGTTTTCAACAACAAATCTTTGGTCAAAATTCCAATTTTTTGCAAAATCATATGCTTAATGGCTTTTTAAATTTTTCTTACAGTTTGACTTTTCAGACATGAAATCTACATGAAGGCTTTTCCACTTTTGTATCAGACTGTTTTCTCCTCAGTGGCCAAATACTGCTATTAACTAAGGAATAAGTAATAACTGAAGAGTTTCCTTCATTCATGACATTGGGAGTGTTTTATACCATGTGAATCCTGGCCTAATATATAAGTGTTACTCTATTAATAAAACAATTTCTCATTGAATAACTTCTCCACTATGAATATCTGGAATTGTCCAAGAGGCTTCATCTACCTAGCAACAAATATTTTCACTTATTTACTGTTTGAGCAGTTACCCCACGCTGAATTTTCTTGTGCATACCAAGACTGGTGTTTAGCTAAATAAGAGTGTACAGCAATTGCAGTTAGGGTTCTTCTCTTGTGGATTTTATTCAATTCTTTAAAGGATGAATTATAAATGAGGTTATTTCCACATTGTTGACAAGCACAGAATTTCTCTGAGATGTGCTTCCCCCCTTTTGTTAAACAGAGCTGTGGATAAAGATTCTTCCATATTCATTTGATTTATAGTGTGAGTTCTCTCATGCTGTACATGATCAGTCCAATGTCTACAGTTTGAGCCACATAGATAAAATACATATGGAATCTCTCCATCTTAAACTAACTTAGGTTGAGTGAAGCAGTAATGATGGCTAAAGCTTCTTCCACAATTACAGACATAATGTTTCTTCAATGTGTTAGTCCTCTAGTGTATTTAGGGGTTGAAGCTATGTCTGAAGAATCGTCCACATTTATTGTCTTTATAGTGTGAGTTCTCTCATGTTGTCTAAGGTTAAAACATTTACTGAAGGCTTTCCCACATAGAGCACATTTATATGGTTTCTCTCCAGTGTGAACTCTCTTATGAAGTCTAAAATTATAACTTCTATTGAAGGCTTTACCACATATATTGCATTCATATGGTTTCTCTCCAGTGTGTGTTCTCTCATGTCGTCTAAGGACAGAAGAGTGATTGAAGGCTTTTCCACACAGATGGCATTCATACGGTTTCTCTCCAGTGTGAGTTCTCTTGTGTCGTCTAAGGTCAGAAGATTCCGTGAAGGCTTTGCCACATACATGACAGTTGTATGGTTTTTCTCCAGTGTGAGTTCTCTCATGTCGTTTAAGCACAGAAGATTCAGTGAAGGCTTTTCCACAAAAATGACATCCGTGTGGTTTCTCTCCATTGTGACTCCTCTCATGTTGTTTAAGGTGAGAACATTGAGAGAAGGCTTTTCCACACAGATGACATTCATATGGTTTCTCTCCACTGTGAGTTCTCTCATGTTGTCTAAGGTTAAAACATTTACTGAAGGCTTTCCCACATAGAGCACATTTATATGGTTTCTCTCCAGTGTGAACTCTCTTATGAAGTCTAAAATTATAACTTCTATTGAAGGCTTTACCACATATATTGCATTCATATGGTTTCTCTCCAGTGTGTGTTCTCTCATGTCGTCTAAGGACAGAAGAGTGATTGAAGGCTTTTCCACACAGATGGCATTCATACGGTTTCTCTCCAGTGTGAGTTCTCTTGTGTCGTCTAAGGTCAGAAGATTCCGTGAAGGCTTTGCCACATACATGACAGTTGTATGGTTTTTCTCCAGTGTGAGTTCTCTCATGTCGTTTAAGCACAGAAGATTCAGTGAAGGCTTTTCCACAAAAATGACATCCGTGTGGTTTCTCTCCATTGTGACTCCTCTCATGTTGTTTAAGGTGAGAACATTGAGAGAAGGCTTTTCCACACAGATGACATTCATATGGTTTCTCTCCACTGTGAGTTCTCTCATGTTGTCTAAGGTTAAAACATTTACTGAAGGCTTTCCCACATAGAGCACATTTATATGGTTTCTCTCCAGTGTGAACCTGTAAGGTATAATGACAATACCTAAGGAATTTTTCCCATATGCCTTTGCCTACATTTCAGAAACATCACTAACTTAAGAAATCTTCATTTAGTAACTCTTAGGGCCTACTCACTCACTGACCATGCTGCTCCTCTTAGTGAAGCACACAGCTTCTTGGAGCTCACCTGGACTCTGGCCTTGCAGAACACTTATTCCTTCTGAGAGTTCTTTTCCTTGCTCCAAAGGGAAAAGCACACCTGATTTGCAGAGCTGTTTGCCTGTTTGTGGAGAAAAAAGATACATGGATTTTGAGTTTTGTGCTGATAACACACGGTCACCTAGAACAGTGCCGACTAATGAGGAAGGTCACCCAGGGAAGAGTACATTGAAAACAACATCAACAGTCTTTCATGAGCAAAGGTATAACTCCTGAATGTGTTCCCAAAGACATTAAAGACCAATAATTGCTGGTGCCCATGCCTAAGTTCAAAGACAGACTACAGAATCCTCACTATTTTCAATCAGTGAGAAATTACAAGTTTTCAGTGTTTGAATATTCAAAAATAATCCAATAAACACATGCTCCATCAGAACAATCTAGATTCTCTGTGCAAGAGATCCTACAGCAGAATAACAATATTTTAAAAATCAGTACATTTATCTTTCTATTTAAAAACAGTGAGTTGCCAACACTGTTCTGAGTGTCGAAGATTGAGTAGCAAGAAGAACAACACTGTGGTCAGAAAGATTACATTCTACTGGGATAAAAAATTAATATAAGTGAAAAGTAAAGAAACAAATAGCTCTCAGGTAGTTGTAAAAGTCATGAAAGAATCCAGGCAGAGTTTGGAATGACAGGTAGAAAAGCTCTTCTAACACTTGTAGAATGAATTAATAAATCAATGAAAGAATGAATACACACACACACACGCACGCACGCATGCAACAAATATTAAGAGACTCACCAACAGAGACTAGATGACTAATGTTCTCTAGCATCACATCTCTAAACAGCTTTCTCTGGGATGTGTCCAGCAGGTCCCATTCTTCCTGGGTGAAGTCTACAACTATATCCTCAAAGGTCATGGATTCCTAAAACATTACAGACATTCTGCTTCTAGCAGGGCCATCTCTACCAATATTAAGGGGAGCATGGTCAAAGAGACAGGGTGATATGTACAGAAAGTTCAGTATTTGGGATTCTCGTCACATTGTTCTTAGTCTGACCTGGGCATTTACCTGACTTTCAGATATACTTAAAGACATAATACATTATAAATACATAAAACTCCACAAAAAGAAATACTAAGTGTGGCATAACCTGGAGATTTCCCAGTGAACTTGCAATTATAATTCTAGATGCAAATTATAAAATTTACACTTAGAAATTTGTTATTAAAATTCTCCTCTCCACCAACTTTAAGTAAATTCACAGACTCAGCACAAGGCAAGCAGTATCCATGATTTGCCACATTTTTTTTTT